TTTGACTCAACGTAGAGGCTTTCTACGGGGCTGGTGCAAAAAGCAGCCGTAGAAAGGCGGATGCCCAAATGGTGCACAGGGTCTAGCATCTTCAAAGCACTTTGAGTCGCAGACCGATAAACAACGGCCCCATAGTCCTAAGCGGGTGCGATGGAGGCTTCTTTACAAATTCATGAGGCATTGCCTGTCATTGCCCCACGTAGTGCATGACAACACTTTTAGAATATTAATGGCTTTTACACATTTTGTTTTTAAATACTTGATGTGCGGTATGAAGGTTACCTAATTGTCCAAGATTAGGCTTAAGAATTTATGCTCGGAATTAACAGACAGACGTTGACCATTCAGTTGAATGTCAGGTTCTGTGTGCATGCCTCTCTTTCGGGAGATCAAGACATGCATGCTTTTTTGTGGGTTCAGTCGGAATCCATTTTCCTCTGCCCATTTAGAGACCTTGTTTAAACCTAGCTGAACCTGCCGCTCACGCATTGCCAGGTTGCATGACTTAAAACCAAGCTGGACGTCATCGACATATGTACAATAGAACATATTGCGGGGGATGGACAGGTGCAAGAAATTCGTTTTGATAATAAAAAGTGTACAACTAAGTACACCACCTTGTGGTACTCCCGTTTCTTGGACAAATGTTTGGGAGAGAACACTGCCCACACGGACAAGGAATGTCCGATTACAAGTAACTTTCGATTATGGAAAGCATTCTACAACGCACACCCAGGTGAGACAAGTCTCTTAATATGCCAAAACACCATGCTGTGTCGTAAGCCTTCTCGATATCGAGGAACACAAAGAGGAAGTATTGTTTGTGGATGAAAGCGTCTCAGATCTCTGCCTCGATACGCATTAGATGGTCGGTGGTGGATATACCCTTTTGAAACCCACACTGGAATCGGTCGAGCAGATTGTGTGTTTCAAGGAAATGTAAAAGTCGGCGGTTTATAATCTTTTCAAAAAGTTTATAAAGGCAGCTTGTAAGTGCAATGGGCCTATAACTCAAAACTGAGGAAGGGTCTTTGCCCTGTTTCAAAATAGGGATAACAATAGCCTCTTTCTAAGAAGTAAGGGTGGTGCCAGAAAGCCAGATAGCGTTGTATAGGGAAAGTAAAGTTTTTTCGCGTTTTGAGCAGCAGGTTTTTCAACATTTCATACATGACACAGTCGTAGCCTGGGGCAGAATCACTGCAGGTGTTTACTGATGTTTGCAGCTCAGCTAAGTTGGAAGGTTGGTTGTATGCCTCGTATTTTGTACACTTGTGTTCTAGTTTCTGCTTTTCTATTCTTGCTTTATATCTTTGGGAAACTTCAGTATAGTGTGACGAGCTAGACACCTGCTCGGAATGTGCACCGAGGAAGTTCGCCTGATCTTCCAGGCTGTCAACCTGTGTGTTTACGAGTGGCAGTGAGTGTACTTGTCTTCCTGCTACCCTACCAACCATGTTCGAGACTTTAGCTTCTTGTGTATATGAATTGATTCCTGATAAAAACTTGTGCCAGCTTTCTCATCTGGCCTGCCAACGTGTTCTCCTGCCTTGAGACTATTTTCTTAAAGCTGTCAAGATATTCGGCTGTCGTTGAGTTCCAAAGCAACCTCCATGCCTTGTTCTGCTCCTTTTGCGCATTCTAACGCTCAGCGTTCCATCATGGGACGTATATCGCTTGCCGGGCGCAGTCCAGATGTTTGCAGGATGCACTTGGCTTCATCTATAAGGAAGGCTGTGAAGTACTGCACAGCTTCATCTATGCTTAACCCACATGTCAGTCCAACTTAAATGAGTAACGTTATGAAACTGTTCCCAGTCAGCTTTGTATGTCAGCCATTTGAGAACACGTGAAGGATATTCGTATGATATTGGTGTACTCAAAACGACAGGAAAATGGTCACTTCCATAGGGATCATTTATAATTTTCCATTGGAGTAATGGTACAAGTGAAGGAGATTAGATACCGAGGTCTACAAAGGAGTAACTTTTGTTGGCAAGGTTATAATATGTTGCCTCTTTCCTATGCAACAGACAGACACCGGAAGAGAAAAGGAACTGTTCGATGAGACGACCTCGTGCGTCGCAGCAAGAATCACCCCACAGACCACTATGAGCATTCAGGTACCCAAGGACCAGATAGGGTTCAGGTAGTTCATCTATTAGGAACTGGAATTCGCGTTTTTCAAGACGGTGGTGTGGAGGTATGCACAGAAAGCAGATGGTGACGAGTTTGTTTAAAAGAACTGCTCGAACAGCCACTGCCTCTAGGGTTGTTTGTAGTGGTAAATGTGTGCATGCTACTCTTTGATTAATAATAATGGCTACACCGCCAGATGACGCCACAGCATCATCTCTGTCTTTTTGGAATAGAACATAATGACGCAAAAAACAGGTGTTTTTGGATTTTAAATGTGTTTCCTGTACACACAGCAGTTTTGGCGAATGTTCGTATATGAGCTCTTGGACATCGTCGAGGTTTCTAAGCAGTCCTCCGACGTTCCAATGTAACATTTGCATTGCCATATTGAGGGTAATGTATTGCTGTGTGTACAAAATGGGTGTGTCTGCTCTTCGAGCCCCTAAGTTATTCACCAATGCAATATCATCAGCAAATCGCAGGCTACTAAAATACTCTTGATTAAGTCTCATCCCTAACTCTTCCCTATCCAGGGTCCTGAAAACCTCCTGTAAACATGCACTGAATAGCATTGGAAAAATTGCCTGTTCCTGCTTTACACCATTGTTTATTGAGATTCTATTTCTTATGGACGACCATGATGGCTAGAGAACCACTGCAAATTTCTTCCAATATGTTTACGTAGGCTTTGTCGATGCCCTGATTCGACAGTGCCTGCATGGCTGCTGATATCTCGACCAGATCAAATGCCTTCTCGTAATCTATGAAGCCTATGTATAGAAGTTGGTAGTATTCCACGCATTTGTCTATCACCTGATCGATAGTATGGCATACTATTGTTGAGCACCTTGTTTGAGATCTTGCTTGGTCCTTTGGTTTATTGAACCATAAAGTAGTCTTAATTCTATTATCTATTATTTTTGCAAACAGCTGGTAGACAACAGACAGTAAGCTGATTTATCTGTAGTTTTTCAAGTTCTTCACATTGTGGGAATTGAGGCTAGCCCGCTGCCTTTGCGCGGGCTTTGCCGCCTTTTCTGCCGTTCTCATGTCCCGACATGTCTGCCCTCCTTTGCTGTCTGCTGTGGTGGGAGAGCGGAGTGACGTTTGACTCCCTCACCCGGAAGCGGATGTTGACTGTGGCGCCGGGCGCGGGGACTCCCCAGAGGTTTTCACGCGCTGCGTCGGGGGCGGTCAGATACTCTTCGGGACAGCAAACGGTGAGCCACGCAACCTTTTCCGTCCGTCGACTCCCGTGGCTCGGGGGCTCGTCGGACTTCGCTGACGGCGCCTCGCGCCCGAGGCGAACGCTCACCTTTTGTTGCCCCGCTGCGTACTCTTGGCCGAAGGGCGGTACGGTGTCCTAGTGAGTGGCCTAGCTACGCCGACCCGTCTCCCTCCGAGGCCAACGCGAGCGCCTTTGCCCTCGCTCGAGCAACCGGGCCTTGGTCCCGGTGTCTCCGTGGATTACCTTTACCGCGGAGACGTGCTCGTGGCACCCTGTGTAGTACTTTGTGCCCGTGGCGGTGATAAGCCTATTTGCTTTCCCGCCGCGCCTTTTGCAACGGGCTGTACTGCGTTTGGTGTTGCCACAATAAAGTGTTGCGACTTTGAGCAGTATCGTGTTCTTGCCACGGCGACGGTTAACGCGTGCCCTGCGGCTCGCTAAGACCGGACCCACGCTGGTGGCCGTACTCCTTCGAGATACGTGTACACCACAACATTCTCTATTTTATTAATTAAAATGATGTCGGCATTCTTGCAAGATTCTGGCCCTTTCAAGAGACACTTCGTTTACATGGTGGCCAGTTTTCTAACACAATCTCTTCATTATCTTTCAACAGGTCTGATGGTACCTTATTCTTCCCAGTGGCTTTGCCTCTTTGCATTCCCTCAGGGGTTTTCTTTAATTGGTGGGATGTCAGATTCCTCTGGGATATAACTACCTCTTACAATATCATTCTGGTTGTCTTGGCTGCTGTAGAGATCTCTGTAGAACTTTTCTGATACCTCAGCTGTCCTATTCATACCAGTTATGACCTGGCCTTTCTTATCCCTTAATGCATGCATCTGTATTTTGCGTATGCATAGTTTTTCCTTTTATTCAGCTGTTTACGGCATGCTCACTTCTCTCCATGTTATACCTTCTACCAATGCCTATTAACTTCAAAATCTCTACCAACTTTATTTGATTGATACATATATGGTGTTTAATGTCCCAAAACCACTATATGATTATGAGAGACGCCATAGTGGAGGACTATGGAAATTTCGACCACCTAAGGTTCTTTAGCGTGCACCCAAATCTCACCAAACCGGCCTACAGCCTACTGCCTTCATAGAAAATGCAGCCGCCACAGGCGGGATTCGATCCCGCAACCTGTGCGTCAGCAGCTGACTACGTTAGCCACTAGACCTCCGCGGTGGGGCCGGCAACTCTATTTTGTATGTTGCAATAGAGACTTTCATGGTTTGAAGTCTCTTAATTAGGTTTTTGGTCTCCTGGGATAGCTTGCCAGTATCCTGTCTAATGAATGTACTGCGACTTCCATTGCACACTCCTTAATGATACTAGTCAGATTATTGTTAAGGCATGAACGCTAACGTGACTTCTTTGGTTAGAGCCACGAATCTATGCTGAATGTATCAACGAGGTTCTGTTGTAATTTCAATCACCTTGGGTTCATAGTGGTATTTAGAGCGCCTAAACAGACAAGAAACGAGAGACAGATTCGCCCAAATTTCAGTGTTACACCTTGGGTTCTTTAATGGGTATTTAGTCTCACAGTAAACAGACAAACTTGTTATCTCATATGTAAACTAACAAAAACTATCTTAAAATTAATAGAAAAATCCTAGCTTACCTCCAAAGGGCTTGTCGACAATGCGGATGCCCCTCTCCGGTAGCATAGGCTCGCCATGAGGCCCGCCAATATCTTTGGGGAGCCGTCGCTGTGCGGCCTCTTCTTCCAAGGTAGTGCGTGGGAAGTACAGTGGTAGCAGCTGCTCATATGTCCCCACTTCGCCACCTTCTACAGCGAGTACAATAAGCTCCACTGCTTCCCCGTGACTTTCAAGGAAGCGGCGAATTGTTCCTGCAGCACGTTGGACACATTACAAGAAAGTGAAAAAGTGTTAACACTTGACCAAACACATAAATGTTGCATATACAGGGAATTTTCTAATTATGGTCAGTACTACAGTCGGTCTACTCTGATGGCTAAGAATACTACTCGTAAGCTCAGTATTGCAATGTGCTTGAAGGGGTCATATAAAAAAACCTTGGTTAAGAAATAGTTTTTGTTGGCTTTGTCAAAACATAAATGAAACCTAATATTTGTGCTGTCTACTTATTTACAATGCAGTTTAAAGCGAGTACAGTAAAAGCTAGTCAATTCAATTTCAAAGGGACTTATAAAATTGTTCAAAATAGGCAGAGTTCAAATTAGGGGGCAGGCACTCGAGTGAAGAGACATTGCGCCACACTAAGCAGGCAGCACCCAAAGAAGCCATCTTTGAAGTCATAGTCTTGAATTAGTCATAACAGCTGTATTTACTCGCGTATTGAACCCACTCGCATAATGAACTTATTCCTCACCTTGGTCATTGAAAAAAAGAAACCTTTTTTTTAATGTATCTGCTCATTTTATTTCAATATGATAGCCAGTGCCATTGATGATCGAAACAGTGTTAAATCAAGGCATTATACCACAAAATAACACAATAAAAGTCGAAACATAGTTTAGCAATCATGCTAAACAGTTGCGAGCAACACGAGTGCGGACAATGTCATTCACAATTTGGAAGTCGCGCCTTTTGCGGCAAAGTGCCGTCTGTCGAATGCAGGAGAAACCTTTTTGCTGATAGTGCCATGCAAGCACAGCGCCACAAAAACAAACCAAAAAGAAAGCATGTGGCCATCGAAATGGTGGGCGTGCAGCATGGAAACACACAGCGCGCCCACCATCTCGGAGGCCATGCAAACTACAACTGGGACGACGGCACCCCAAGCACCCGCAATGTCTACCGCAACGTTTGTGTGCAACCAACCGACACTGCGTTTTTGTTCTCGGGTTTGTCACTGTGACCTTATGTGACCTTATTTGGGACACCTGCTGGGCGGGGCACATTCAGCTGGTATGCTAGCTACACGGCGGGTTACAAACATCATGCACTGTAGAATACGACCCGAGTTGCTGGACGACACTTCGGCATCGATTCGTGCACTTTCGTTACGGGAGGAAACAAAAAGAGTTTCAGATTAGATTCACAAAGCTCTAACAGCAGACACTAAGAATTGATGACTCACTGATACGTCAGAAACAAGCACGAACGCGCATTGAACAGCAGTGAGCCTTAAATGAACACTAAAGAAAAAAAAAATGTATATTAGTAGAGCACAATTCCACAATCCCGAAAACACCACTCTCACCGCGAGACAATGCTTGGTAAACGAGCAAACACACAAAAAGAAAATGCGGGTAGCGAATGCACTTTCGGAGTCATGCACCAAACATTGTGACATCATATATTTTAATGTCACATGCAGATATTTCAGTGTGAAATTTGAAAATGAAAAAAAAAAAAAAAGCTCAGACCTTCATTTTCTTCTCTAATTACACTTGTGGTCAAACTTGAGACATTCGAGATCTCAGAGTACAGTTTATCAATCTTAACTAAGTTTTTTTAGTTTAGTGTCCTTTTAATGTCAAAGTAATGATGCCATTTATGCTCCGAAATGCATTTGTTAACATGGCAGAGTTAACACAATCAAAACCAGAAGTAACCAGCAATATTGCATTTTCTTGCGTTTCTTCTGTTGTGACTGCGTGAGCATTGCTTGCAGCTTCCCCAAGAGCTCCTGCACAGCGTCCGATTTCTCACCTGCTGAGAGCTGCTGTTCCGTTATTTTCCATTTCTAGTATACTTGGTTTGGTTTTTGACACAATGTGATCACACTGGGCAGACTTCTGAGAGGAGCAATGCAAACCAGGGAATCCCAGCTCAAGTTAACTGTCGAGGATACCGACTCTTTCGAATTATCAGGAGTTTTTCTCCATAAAATGCGCAGGGTCGTGCCAGGGCCAGAGTGTCAGTTTAAATTAACTTAAGTTCAATGTAACAAAGTTCAAACTAACGAGCTTCTACTGTATTTGAGCATAGACATAACACCACTACATGTCTCTTCCAGCTAAATCGCTGTCTTGTTTATGCTCAAGTTTTGCACAAATGTGTCGCTGAACAGTGCACGCTTGGTAATACACCAAGTTTGGGTTCTCAGCCTGCCTGGTTCGTTGACAGTCCATATGAAGGGCACATTGTCTGCCATGGTAACACGGAACAATTGACTTTGCAATAACAAAATTGGGGTGCTAACAATCACTAATAATGCGACACACTATGTGCTTGTGTGTGATGCTTTGTGTTACACCTAAATTTCTGAAATTACTACTGAAGAAGAACTTGACTGCTAACAAGCCAGCAGTTTGGCCGGAATAACTGTGTACACTTGGCACTCCTATCCTTCATGCAACATGAAGTATACTCTGTTTTTAATGCACCTCGTGACTTGAAGTTACCAGGTGTAGCCCGGTGCTCAAAGTATAAAAGGGCACAATCCAATGTAAGAGGACCTTAATGAACAGCAATTTCAAGCAAATCTAGATTGTTATCATGGTGTGTGCGATTTGTTGTCAGCTAGCATAAAATGACAAATGTGTAAATGGCTATGCACCACTAGTCTAAAAAAAAAAAAAAAAACATTGAAGTGAACATGTACACACAAAAAATCGAGAAATGGACAGTGGGTACTATGCAGTTCTCCCCCATATTCTCTTGTGAATGCATCTACTTGTCTTTTTGGTGTGTGCACAAAAATGGAGAGAAAAAAAATATAAAAATATGACATCATGCAGGCAATCAGCTTTTGCAAGTCAATCACTTCCGAAAATCCAAAAAGGCAGAAGTTCAAGAGAAGATGAAAGCTTGAAGGAATGAAAAATTCACGAGCACCGGGTGTTACGGCAGCAGCAAACACTATTCACAAAGTTTATAATCTTCCTCGACAGTGTCTTATTTGTGCATTGACACAGAAAATGTGTCCATTTCATGTTAAACCCTAGGATCAACTTGCGACACTGTTTGGTCCATGGTACGTTTGAGTGCCACTGGCTACTGAAGTCTGTTAGCTGTATTTTTTAGGTTGTGCTGCTCGTCACATCTTAGGACTTTGATTCTAAGGCTCTATACTTGAAAATGTAAGTGCTGTTGTCTCGGGAACGATTGTTCTAAGCATCCTGGAAATTGTAAGTCTCAGATTACAAAACTTGAGCAGCATGGCAAGCAAGCAAACAAACCCAGCACAGCTACACGCAGTGATCACAAATGACCAGCTGTTATCATGTACTTGTGTGCCATTTCACAGAACTTTTGAGTAGGCTTAAAAACTACAATGCAATGCTTTCTTCTAACGTTTCTTTATCCCCCTCCAGATTGCCAGCAAGGATAATATTGATAATAATAATACTTGGGATTTCACGTCCCAAAACCATATGACTAAGAGGAACGTCGTAAAGGAGGGCTCCTAAAATTTTGACCATATAGAGTCTTTTAACATGTACTGGCACTGCTCAGTGCACAGACCTCTAGCATTTTGCCTCCATAGACGTAGCACTGCAGTGGCTGGAATCAAACCCCCGACTTTCGGGTCAGCCGCCAAGCACCATGGCCACTACACCACCCGAGCAGACATGCCAGCGAAGAACTTGGTTGAACTTACGAAGAGCTAAGTGGGCTCCTTCTTGAGTGGGATAGGACCTGCGCACAGAATGTATTGGACACAGCCCAAGGGTCCGAAGTCCATGCTCGGGTAGCATCTGCAGCACCCGCCAGTAGCTTGAATGGAGGGCAGTCTCTGCGGCTGTGTGAAACTTGACATTGTACTTCGGCCCTACAGTGTGAATCACAAACCGTGCTGGAAGGTTGTACCCCTTGCTCAATTTGGCTTCTCCGGTGCGGCATGCTGCAGTGAGGATATAAGCACTGAATTAGAAACCAAAGGTTTCTGGAAGCACAACAGCAAACACAAGTGCGGCACAGTAAAGAGGCTATTGCACAAACGTCAAATACATAAGTGCAACCGTGTTCTCTTAAATAAAATCGTAGGCAGCACATTGCCACCTCATAAACATGGCACAGCTATAATATATGCTATCAGGCAGGCATCCTGCAGATCTCTTAAGTACCACACATGCAGCTGAAAGAAAAAGTGAAAGTTTATACAGCCTGATTTGTTATTTTGTTAGAGCTACACAAACCACACAAAGGTTACAGCATATATACAATACGCTCTAGTGAGACACATAAGCTTTCACACTTACACTGAATTTCGCTGAGCATATCCTGCCTCATCTGGGGTCCGGCCCTCGCTACGAGCCTTTGACTAAGGGGACTTCTGTCAGTCAGATTTTCGTTCGTAGAGTTGACAATGGCGTGGGCATTCAAGCTGGTCAAGTCGCCGACCCTGCATGCGTGGGGAAACGTTCGACACAGCTGTTAAATCCGCGTGCACTTTTTAGCACGCAAACAACCACTAAAAACAATGATCCGCGCTAACGGAACGGGATCTGTGAAGAAGCTTACCAAAGAGCAATTTTTCGATTCAGCTCTTCGTCGATAGGAAACGGCGTGTTCTCTCGGTAGCAGCTGTTTTGGGCACCAGTTTTGTCTTCTTCTGTAAGGACCGGCTCTCGAGGGGCAATTTGCTGCCATCGTTTCAGGACCGCAACGTCTACAATGTCCAACGGCGAGCCCAACGGGTCCATGGCTCGGCCAACTGAGGTGAGTGAAAGCTAGTAGAGAAATACTGCAAGATTTGAGAGTTGTGCGAGCACAGAAATTCGATGCGAAGGGGGCGTCCTGTAATGCAAGCCGGAGACAACGAGCGGACAACAGAGTTTTGCACAAACAGCACAAACCCAGCTGAGCGCATTCACGCACGTGACCTCAAGACTGCCACTACTGCAACGGGCTTGCACAGCTAGTGGACGCAGCAAACGAGGCCGGGCGGCCACATATTTTCGTTCGTGCAAACGGCAAACGCCACGAAAAGGGCGCAAACAGTTATCGCGAGGGGAAATGTAAATTCGATACAGCAATACGGCCGTCACCAATCACCAGCCTCCTGCTACCGACTGTGTTGACACCCCTCGCGTCACTTATCAACAAGTTATCAGCACGTTCATACCTTCATACCGAAACTCAAACGATGAAAGCGAAACAACATTTCATGGCTATAGATGAATAGTTGTAAACAAGTTCCCCACCATAGCCTCCTATATTTCTCTTGCCTGCCGGATTATCGATGGTCACATAAAAAGCGGCCTTCGTCGGTACTATGGTAATGACGCTACCTAAGTAGGTGTGTCTTCAAATAAGTTTCTTACGTTTTTGGCGCTTAAATGCAACAAAAATAACGTAAAAAGACGTAAACGTAATTATGATTAACCCTACGTAAGTGACGCCGTCATTCAGCAGGCAACTACTCCAATACAAGGCATAACCTTTAAAATTAGTAGCAAACACTAAAATTGCCAATTTCAAAGGCCAAGTACAAAAATTCTTATTCCTACGTAGGCAGCGCCGCAATAGATGACGGGCGTTTCGTGTTCATTTGGCAGGCAAAGAAAATCTAGGAGGCTATGTCCCCACAGAACGCCTATTATTGTACCCAACCACGTCCCCAACCCATCCACATTAATGAAGGCCAGTGTTACCATCATGTTTTAAAGACATATCTTGACAAAAACTTGACAATAGCAAATAATTTTGAACTTAATTATTTTTTTGCTCTTTTATTAAAAAAAAACTTTACAGTGGTAGCATGAATAAATGGTGATATACAACTTCCCTCATGTATACAACCATAGCCAACAATAGTAATAGAATATAACACTATGTCAAAGATTATGCTTTTGCAAATTACATGTTTCAGGAAAAGCACAAAAAACTGATTAAATACGCTGCGGCAGCCATGTTTTTAGACATCATGCTGCATCAAAGGCGTTAAGCGCACACAGACCATGGCCAATCCACTACACAGCCGGCGCCGCTAGCCGCTTCACAGAACACTGCCGCTGCCCGGCAGCCTCCATTCTTCGAGCGATGGATACTTGCGTGATACAAGTTACAAACGTTGCCCCTACAGCCACCGTGGAGCAAATGTCCACGTTGTTTGGCTTTTTGGGTAAAATCCTGGAGTTGAAGATGTATCCGGCGGACGAGTTCTTGGTGCACCCGGTGGCCAAGGTATGCTTCATTCGCTTTGAAGAGTCCTGGAGCGTCGGAGTGGCACAGCACCTCACGAACACGGTGTTTGTAGATCGTGCTTTAATTGTGGTGCCGGTGGCTGATGGCAAACTTCCCGATGAGAGCAAGGCGTTGGCGATTTCAGCCTCAGCGACGCCGCCTGTCGAGGAGCCAGCAGCGCCTGTCACCACTGGTTTGATCAATCAGCTTGCCATGGGAGCTGGTGGCATTCAAGTGATTACAACCCAAGATCCCGCACTGGCTGCCCTGGGCTTGCCGCCGTATCCACCGCTACCGGCCACGATGGATCCCGCCAAAGTGGAAGAGATCAGACGCACCGTCTATGTCGGCAACTTGGACTCGTCAGCCACTACTGAACAGCTGCTCAAGTTCTTCAGTCAGATGGGCTGAAGTCAAGTACGTGCGTATGGCTGGCGGCGAGAGCCAGCCGACACGATTCGCCTTCGTCGAATTCTCTGAACAAAGCAGCGTGGGCCGCGCGCTGCAGTTCAACGGCATAGAGTTCTGTGGTCGTTCGCTCAAGATAAACCACTCAAACAACGCGATCGTCAAGCCGCAGGCAAAGAGCTCCGAGGCGGCACACAAAGAAATTCGAAGAAGCCATGCGACGCGTGCGCGAAGCGCAGTCGCTCATTACAGCTGCTATTGAGCCAGAGATGGTGAAGCAGCCGACAGTTGGCTCGCCATTACAACTTGGTGCGACGGCAACTCTTGCCAAACGCAGGAGCCGTTCAAAGAGCCGCTCGAGACGCCGAAGCCGCTCCAGGAGCCACAGCAGCCGACGCAGGAGCCGCTCCAGCAGTCGTAGACGCTCTATCAGCCGACACCGGAGGTCTCACAGACGGTCGAGAAGCAGGCATCGCTCACCGAGGCGCAGGCGCCGTTCTTCAAGCAGCCGGCGTTCGTCCCGCTCCAGACGCCATTCGAGATCCAGGTCTCCCAGCAGAAAGCTGCGACTCAAGGATCCGGACCGGCGTCGTGGGGAATCCCGAGAAAGACGCCGCCGCAAGCGCTCGCACTCGCCTCGCAGATCCAGGCGGGGCTCGTCACCACTGACGCCACCACGCCGTAGTGGCAAGAAGCGACACAAATCACGCAGCCCAAAGCGATCTAAGAGCCGAAAATCTCCCAAAGATGATACAAAGGCCCCCGTCGCAAGGGACTACGACGAAGAAGAAAAAGGCTATGAACCGGCACGTGACACCAGCCCAGCCAGTTCTCCCCCATCAGGGGACATGGATCTCGCCAGTGATTAATGAACCAATAAAGGGCACTCATTTTATTTCCATGGGTTGTAGCTTCTTACTAAGAGTGTGACAAAAGGAGAAGGGTTTCACTGTCTGAACCAGCTGCCACCAGGGGACCCTGAAGATCGAGGCTGTTCAGTGGTTTCCCTTGAGGACGAACCAAGGCATCCATCTCTACTTCACCACGCAGTTGTCCTGTGAAAAATCATACAGGCAGAAAATGTGATTGTCATGCTTGGTATACTTTCAATGAAACTGTTCACTGCAATACATGTGGCTGCTGTAATATGTGTAAAAAGTCTAATTAATCCTGATCATGCATTTAAATATGGGTAATCTTAAAGGGGCCTTGCTACACTTTTTGAGCATGACCAGAAAATGCTGCCGATCGGTAGTAGAGGCTCCCGAGAACATGAGAGTCAAATGGTATAGTCAAAGGCGGCCTGCAATTCACAATAAATTATCAGTCAGCTAAAAATTTCTCTTGACGAATGATGGAGTAAGCTCAAAATTCACTCATACAAGGCCTTTTATCAGCCATAGGCTTATTTGAACATGGCATGCTCGGTCGTGACAGGGATTGCTGCAGGCCGCGACTTGTCCACGCATGCGCACGCTATCACACTGAAAAAGCCGCTTTTTTTTTTTTATGTGCTCAGCCCACAAGGTGCATGTGACGTATTTTCTTTGCCCATGCCATCCCCCCTGCTTAGCTTCTAGCGCTTTCGTTGGGACGAGCAAAGATAGGATGCGACTGCAGCGTGCAAAAAATTTTTCTAACCTTGTTCCTACTGGATGGATGCTTAAAATTTTTTCGCTGTTGAATTTGTGTGGCAATAAGATCTTTTAGTGAATCCATTGAATGGTTACTTGACAAAGTGTTTCAGGGCCCCTCTAAAGAGACACTAAAGAGGCGCAACAATTTGGTTTACATTGATAAATTATGCTCTGAGAACTCTAATGCCATATGTTTCACTATCATAAGTTCATTATTAGTAAAAAAAAAATAAATGTTGAATTTTCACTTTTAAATTATGGGCCAAAATCTCCGTGCATGACGTAAGAAATTGCAAAATGTATTTTCGGGGCATTGACGCGACGAAATTTTCTAAAACTTTGTGTGCTAAGTTGATGGCACCCACAGATCACAATGTACTTCATCTTTAACGATTGGAAGCTACGTAGGTCCTAGTAGACGCCTTCAAAATTTCTTACGTCATGGTGTTTGGTTCACCAGGCTTCATTCATTCGTGGTCTAACCAGGAGTGAAACTAAAACACCACCTCACTGATTCCAACTTGGCGGCATATAATTATTTTCTGATCCAAAGGTTTTCGGCAGGATCCGCCAAAATAACGACACTTATTTGACATTAATATTTTTGACGATACTAAAAAGTGCTTTTGGTACCACTCAGATGCACCTGTTACTAAAGCCATTGAAGCAGAACTAAGAGACAGTAACCCTAAGGAATGTGTAGGGATGTTATTTGTAGTAACTATGATATAAGTGTGAATAACATGAAGTGCACAAGAAAACTTGCTGTCAGCAGAGACTGAACCTGCAGCCTTGAAATTCAAATATTGCAGGCTTGGTTCCTGCTGTAGGCAAGTTGCCTTTTTGTCCACTTGACTTTCTCCACATTTATACTACAATAGACTTCTGCCTGTTTGTAAACAGTGTGACGTCACTGCGGGCACCCCGCCCACCATACCCTCTCTCTCAAAGCAGGTGCTGGTTAGCAAGAAAGTTCCGCTGGTGGCATCTTTCTGCATAGCAGAGTTGCATGTCAGCATTCCTTCGACAGAAATTTCAACACTGCCAGGTCCTAAAATCACAGCTTTTGGGAAGGGTCACTGCTCATAGTGTGGAAATTTGCTCGTCATAGATCGATGGATGAAGAAATTTATTTAGAGTACTGAGAGGCGACTAGCATGCAGTGGGCTTCACTTACATAGATGGCAGCCATAAAAAAATCTGATCTTTTTCGAAAGTGAACTTTTGAATGTACACGGTGACTGGCACTTTGAGAAACATTTGCATAGCATGGATAAAAACTTACTCAATTTCCATAGCGGAATGTGCAATGCAGTTTTTAACGAGGTACAGCATTGGCGGCAGCATGAATTTCAGCTGCTGTGCGCGACATCATGGATAAGATTCTTATTCATTGCGCAAGTCTGATCGGAGATGAATGAAAAAAAAAAAAAAAGACACACTTCTTGCGGTGCAATAGGCTTTAACATATACTTGTGAAAATTAAAGTGAAATTCTGCCGCTGCGTTTCTCAATAACTTAGTAAAAATTCATGTGACGTAAAACCCGACAACTTAATACTACACTCAGACCTTGTTATAATGTAACGAGATATAACGAAATAACAGATATAACGAAGTAAATGAAGTTCCCTTTGAAAGCTCCATTGAGAACCATGCATTTTAAACCTCGTTGTAACAAAGTAAAATAGACCGGTAAATTGATATAACGAACTAAATTAGTATATCAAATAGTCTATACAAAAAACCCAACCATTGTGTGTCAAATATATCCTTTTCTGCGGAGTGTGGCACGGCTCTTTCAGAACTCCCGCACCGACCTTACAGTGACGCCACGCACAACCAAGACAGCTGTCCTCCTCACACAGCCAGCGGAGAGGATTGACGAAGCGCTCAGCGGGTCACAAGACCAAGAAGCGGCGCCGCGGTGCAAAGCGATTTCCCTCTTCACACCTTAAAGACGACGGCAACGACTGCGTCTTCGCTGGCACTGTGCCGTGCTGCCGACCGGGCTGCAGAAATCGGGCGCCTTCTTCCTCTTCTAACTACTACACCACCACCTTCGGCACCGAGAAAGGAGACCTCTCCGCGAGAGCCTTTTTTTTTTTCCTCTGTCCCCGCGCGCGGCGTTGAAAGGAGAAGGGTCTCCATGTGCAGAGACAGAAAAGGGAGAAGCGTGGCACAGGTGCGTTGCAGATCGGCATTTGAGAGAGAGAAAACAATTTGAAACAGTCTTTTCTTTTCTTTTTTTGCGTGCAGCCTTGAGAGGTGCCGCCGCGGGATTTGGTATGGTGCTGAGAGCATTTTCAGAGCGCAGTATGTTCGAATTAACCGTCGCAAGTGCTTG